GAGCGGCCACTGCACTCCAGTCTGGGCAACAGAGTGAGACTCCAACTCAAACAAAAAAAAGAATGAGATACTGCGCCATGCCACAGCAGGGACGACCCTGGAACGGGGAGGGGAGGTGGGGTGATAGGGTAGGCAGGCCTGGCTGCAGGGTGTGGGTGGGGAATGGGGGTGGGGTGTGAGCCCAACCAGGGGAGGGGGAGAGGGGCAGTAAGGGGATGAGCCTTGCTGCAGGGAGGAACAGAGGGATGGGGTGGGGCATTGGGGAAGTGGGGAGAGAAAGAAAGAAGCCGGACACAAAAGGCCACGCACGATGTGGTTTCGTTGAAACAAAATGTCCAGAACAGGCAGATCCATAGAGACAGGAAGCAGGTGGGCGCTGCCAGGGCTGGTGGGGGGGACAGGGGGAGGAGGCCGGGGGCATGGGAAAATGGGGGTGCCGGCTCGCGGGACGGGCCTTCTTTCTGGGTGATGCGAATGTTCTAGAACTGAGTGTGGTGACAGTTGCACGACTCTGAATATACTAAATCACTGAACTGAATGCTTGAAATGGGTGGGCTGGACAGTAGGCCAATTATACCTCAACACAGCTGTTATGAAGTGGAAAGAGGAGAGAGATAGAGGGAGAGGAGAGACAGACAGAGTGAGAAGACAGAGGGAGGGAGGGAGAGAGGGGGAGAGAAGAAAAGAATAACAGAGGAGAGCGAGCAGGGAGAGTTCCCAGTGGCACAGGCCTCCCTGGGGGCCTGGCAGTAGCCCTGAAGGGGTTTCCATACACAGATGACCCTTCAGGGCTGCTCCTTCAGATCTTTGTGCCCCACGTGGGGCTGTTGCCCTCAGGGGTGGGGGTGGGGCACAGGGAGGTCGTGGGTGGTCGGCACCAGAGGTGTCTGCCAGCTGACAGGACAAAGGGCTCGGTGAGTGACAGATGGGGAGTGAGGAGGAGGAAGAGGACGAAGGCCTGCATGGGTCAGAGCCGTGCCACCAAGGAGGTACCCAGCCCAGCGACGGCCAGTGGGCTTTCCACAGCCCTCAGAGCCTGCCCTGCGCAATGGGCAGCCCACATCACCTGCCTTAGGGCCCCCGCAGGAGCCATTCTTGGGGCTGGACTCCAAGGGCCAGTAAATGACATTCCAAGACAGATGCACCGCCAGTCTCTAGTTTTGCCAAGAGAGATGACAACCAGCAACTTCCTCTTTCTGCTACCACCATCATTTCATTAAATAAGGGAGTGTGTCCCTCAAAGCAGATGAGGACGGGTGTACTCACCCACGGGCATCCTGTCCTTTAGCCAAGTGACCGTGGGTGCAGGGACCCCGGACACATCGCAGGTCAGGACCAGGGGGCTCCCGGCCACCTGGCTCACTGTCTCCGTCTTGGGGCTCTCAAACGTTGGGGGCACTGCAAAAAAGAAGCCAGATTTCTAAAATCCTGGGACCCTTCCCCCTATTTTCTTCCTCTTGAGCAGATTACGGAGGTAGGAGTTCACATTTTATCCCCATTGGTGGAGACAGGAGTTGCTTTATTATAAACGTAAATAGAATCAGCCCTTAGTTATTTTAAGGCATTTACCAAGCAGAGCCCAGCAGTCCTTAACCTATGCCAGGGCAGACATCACTAATCGATCCCAACATCTTCTCCTGCCCTGCCAGGATGAAGTCATACCCCCTAGGCAGCCACTACAATCAGAACAGAGTTGAATGGGCTCAGGATGGAAAGTCTTTGCTCCCAGCGACCAGACATTCCCCATTTCCCCTCATGCATCGAGATAGCCATCAGAAGAGACTATGAGCTCCAAGCAGCTAACCAGGTATCAGCCATTTTCAGTGACTGTGTTCAGCGTGGCTCATGGTTGGAGGCTGCCGGCTTTGCCATCTGTGGCAGACAGCTGGTGCTCCCCCCACAACCTTTTCTTTCCATGTGCACGCAGACTTTTAGCTGAGTGTGCAATCACTCAAGTCTAAATGACATTTCCCAGTCTCCCCTGTGAACAGCTGCCTAAGTCCTTCCTGACAGAATACATGCAGAAGGGGCAGGCAGGTACAACTTCCACGTGAAATTGATGCTCATCTCCCCTTCTGCTCTTTCTGTTTCCTGTGGGCTGGGACAGGAAGGCAGGAGGATCACTTGGGCAACGTAGCGAAAACCCATCTCTATTCTTTTTTTTTTTTTGAGTTGG